TGGGACTTGGGAGACCTGTGTTCCGTTTCCTACTCTGCCACAGACTTCCTATGAGAGCTTGGGCAAGTCACCTAGTGTCTCTGTGCATCAGTTTCCCCGTCAGCCCTGCCCTGCCTCACAGAGGGTTGTGAGGAGAAATGCTTTAGAAAAGACTGTGAGGTGCTCAGATGGGCCATATAAGTGCCACGGATAGATGATGATGATGCATCTCTCTTCCCCCCCCCCCATAGATCTCAGGTTTCTTATAACAGTGGGTCAGTATCATTGTTCCTGTTTTACCAATGGGGGAAACTGAGGCACGCAATGGGGATGTGACTTGCCTGGCTGAGGTCACACCGTAAGTCAGTGGCTGTGCCAGGACCAGACCCTAGAGCTTGATTCTCAGTTACTCCGTTTCCATGCTGGAGGGAAGGGGGCTTTAAGCCACTTCTGCACTGCCTGGATTCTGGAGCCGTGCACGGGCCTGCCCAGTCCCCTACAGACCTCGGGAAGCAAAGAATAACTACAGCACGGTACACTCTGCCCATGCCAGGGGCTGGGAGCAGGGGCCATATGGAGCCTTTTCACTAGCTCACACTTGGGCGTGCAGTGTCTTTTCTCAGGGGTCCGTTCCACACCCTTTAAGGCCCTTTTATGCTGCCAGAGTAGCACAGAAGGGCCATGACATTGCTGAGAATCAGTCCTCCTGTCTCTTGATTTGTACTCCAGTACCCTATCCCCCCTGGGTCATGTATAGCTCTCTTTGCCAGCGTTGTGATGTTAGCTCAAGTGTCCTGGACAAATTCCCTTGGAGCTAATTGCATCCTGCCTCCACGAATACCCTTTGCAGTTTCCACTGGACTTATTTTCTCCAAAATGCAGTGCATCCTTAAACAGCACCCTGTATTTTGCCTCAGAGGTGACTGCATTTTAGTGGTGCGAGAATTGATTGCTAGTACAGCAGCAACTCTGTAGTGAAGGGGATGAGACAGTTTCCATTCTGAGCCCAGTTTTGACGTGTTCCCACCCCCTAGAATATTAAAATGCTTTGGGGCCTTTCTGAATGAAAAACACTCAGTAAATGTAAGTCAGTGGCTGGGCCTCTGGACTGGATTATTATCCAGAGCTGTTGATTGGTTTGTGTTTGTGTGTGTGTGTTGGGGAGCAAAGATATGGTATTTAAAAACAATACACCTGTTCAGACAGTGTCTCCATGTACCCCACACCTTCCACATCAGATAGGTAGCATTAGCCTCGCTTTGCAAACAGAGAGAATGAGGCGCAGAGAATTTAGGGGACTTGCTCGTGGTCCGAAAGCCACAGATGGAGCTCAGGGGTCCTGGCTCTGAGGCTTGTGCCTTAAACACAAGATCATCCTTCCTCCCGCTTCCGTGGTTATCAGCATCATGGGTTCCCAGGTGTTCGATTGTGCAAACCTTGGAGAAGAGAGAGAGGCAAGGGTCAGAAGTGAAGCGCTGACAGGACTGTGTGGGATGGGAGTTAGACAGGTCCTCTCCCCCTGCTGCATTTTTCTGCTCTGGATTGGCCTCTGTAGGACACTTTGTAGTGTCACCGTTCATGGGAGTGGCATGGCTTGGCTGAGTGGGAAAGGTACCCCATTTCCCCCTGACCACGCTCAGTTCCTTAAGTCCATTCAAAATATACAAGGAAGCATCCCTTCCCTGTATTGCCAGATTCACTGCTCCTGCTGCTGAATTGTGCACCTCCTGCCGCCTTCTTCTCTACTAATATCTCTCCTCTCCCCTCCTCCCCCCCACATGTCTTCAGCCACTGCAGTCTGGAGGGAAAATTCTGCTTTGAACCACTCACCATCTTCCCCAGGTTATGGATGATGGGCTAGCCCAGTGTGAGCTAGCAATTAGAGTAGTGGACTTGGAGTCAAGACCCCTGGGTTCAGTTGCACAGCCTGCATCGGCAGGTGGTTTAGTGGATTTGTTCCCAAACATTTCCTAAGGCGACTCACCAACTGCATTTTGTCTTATTTTTATTTTGTTTTTGCGACCCATCATTACATATAAGCACACTCCGCCCCGGCACCGCAACCCTAACCCCAGTGAGCCGTGCCTGCACTGACCCAGCAGCTCCTGTCCCGCAGGGCCAGGCCAAGCTCCGGGCTCATGGTGGGCTCACCCCCACCCCTGCAGGAACTCCCCCTGGCCCGAGACAGAAGGAAGGGTGTGTTTGCTTAGGCAAGGGCCCCGTGATGGGTTAATCCGGCCCTGGATGTGGTGACCCACTTAGAACCTTCCCGCGACCCACCATTTGGGCGACTCTTGTCTAGTGGGTAGAGCAGACGGTCCCAAGTCAGGACTCCTGGGTTCTGTTCCCACTGACTCCCTGTCCCCATCTGGAAAATGGGGGTAATGACACTGAGCTGTACCTACCTCGCAGGATGGATGAGTCAGTAATACTCAGTTATGGCTCAGGTAGGGCGGCTCCCTCTGGAGCCCTCTCGTCTCTGCAGGCTTCTTTAGCACTGCTTCACTGCACCTGAATGGACTCCCATCCCCTTTGTATGGACAAACAAGAGCCCTGTCTGTGTCTGGCTGCGTCGCTCTCCGTCGCCTCGTGCTGCCTCTCTCGCCTCCAGACTCTTGCGTGCAGGCTCGTGGGACAGAAGGGGCATTGTTCGCATTGTTCGAGGGTTAAGGTTTCACTCTGGCTTTGAGTTTAATTACTCCTGACAGTCTCCCCACCACCATGCTATGGGGAGCACCTCTAGGTTTAGGGGACAAGGGAGACTGGGTGTGGGTCATGCTAGGTCAGCTAAGAGACAGTTAAACCGTGTCATTCCACTTCCCGTGGAAGGTTCTTTTCTTTCTTCCTCTTTCTCTCTCTGGCTGTCTTTCTCTTTTTCATGTTCTCTTTCTCTTCACATATCTTTCTTTTGAGTCCCACCAGCAGCACATCAATGGGATTTCCCTTGAAATCCAGGAATAACTAACTGGCTATTACCCTCTTTCTTCTCTCTCTGGCCTATTCTCTTGTCTTTCCCTTTGTGCTCCCACCCCCACCCCCAGCTGGGTTCCTGGGCCTTGAGTTTCTCTTGTAGCAGTAGAGACATCACCTGGAAGCTCTCCATGGAAATAAGAGGCAGTCTTGGGTCTGGGTGGGTGGCAGAATATCTGGAACCCTGACTGGTCTCTTGTCTCAGAGCTGGGAAGTGCCTCAATCCAGGGCATCGATTTCCAGCTTCCAGGAGAAACCAGCACAAAAAGATCAGTGAGCACTGGGGTCTGGATTCGCCTCACTGCAAGGATTCCACGCATTGCTGGTTTTCTTCACCCACCCACTTTCTCTCCCTCCTATCGGGCAATGGCTCTGATTAGGAGCTCTCTCCCCTTCTTCTGCCAACTGGCCCATGTTTGACAGCAAGGCAAAGTGACTTTGTCATGAAAGAGCCTGGCATCCGAGTACACGCAGGGACCAGGCCTGAATCATTTCCTCTCCCAGAGCAGGGACAGCAGCGAGTCCAGGCACAGTGGTACTAGAGAGACGAAGGCCAAGATTGAAAAGAAATGGCGGGGCCTGAACTGAGGCTCCTTGGCGCCTACTTAGATATGTGGCTGTGTTCAGCTGCTATGCCCACAGGACCTTCTGGTGCCTGTCAGTTCTGAAAATCAGGCCTCGCTTATGTAGGTGCCGAAATATCGACCAGGGCACCGCATTTTAGACCCCTGTTTTTGAAAATCTTGGCTGAATTTCCAATCCCTCAGCAGAAGATGGCCTACTGAGGTCTGGGGGGTGGAGAACATCAGGCCTGAATCACTGGAAACTCGTCTTCCCCCCCTTCCCTAGCAGAGGGTTGTGCCTTTGGTCCCTTGATATGGCAGCATCCCTTGGGAAATGGGTTTGGGTCAATGAATGGGGAGCGTGCACCATGGCCTAGTGGATAGAGCACTGGACTAGGACTCAGGAGACTTGGTTCTATTTCCAACTCTACCGCTGGTCTGTTGGGTGAGTTTGGGCAAAGTCTCGTCCTTGCCCCGTGCCTCAGTTTCCCCATCTGATCAGTGACCTCCTTTATAAAGCGCTTTGAGCTCTCCTGATGAAAAGCTCCAGATAAGAGCTAGGGATTATTATTTATTCCGAGCGCCTTCAGTGGGTCATTCCAGATCAGTGGTCGAAGGTGGAAAGATGATGATTTTGGCCCCAAGTTTAGTGTTGGTTTTGGTTTTTTTTTTAAACCCCAGGATTTTACAAATCGAAGGACAATTTTTGAAGCTGTCACGGGAAACAGTGGATGGCTTTTTTGTGTATCTCTCTTTTGGGGGTTGGTTTATTGCCGTGGCTGTTTATTTGTGCTGGGGCCCAAAGATCGAAGCTCTGTTCTGCTCGGTGTTGACTGGGAGTCAGAGGGTCTTTTCCTGAGTCTGGGAGGCAGTTTGACACACTGGTTAGAAAACTGACATCCCGCGGTTCAGTTCCCTGCACTACCATAGGCTGCCTGCAGGTCATTCAGCCTCTCTGTGCTGCAGTTCTCCAGGTATAAAGCAGGGATAATAATCCTTCTTTCCTTTGCCTCATGTATTTCGATTGTAAGCTCTTCCGGGCAGAGGCTTTATTACGTGTACGTACAGCACCGAACGTCCTCATAGTTAACCCTTATATCACGCTTTTTAGAATGATCCCTCAGGGAATAGTCACAGGCTGGCGCTGCCTTAGTAGGACTAGTCTTGCAGTCCTTATGGGACACTGGGGCCCTGATCTTGGCTGGGATGCCACTGGTGGTAGAGGTCACTTGGCTGTGGATGCAGCTGTCATACAGAGAAATATTCTGGGTGGCCATGGGCAAGCTCCTTTGCTGCCCTGTGCCTCAGTTTCCCCATCTGTAAAACGGGGATAACATTACTGACCCTCCCTACATGAAGCACTTTGAGATATCTAGATGACGGGCACAACCCAAGAGCACTGCCATTAGAGCCGGATCCCTTGGGCTTGATTTAATCCTATCGCAGCCTTTGCTATGGTCCAACACATCCCATTTCTCTCTCTCTCAGCAATTCCTTTGTGCCTCGGGAAGAGCTGTGACCTGCCCCACACGTGCGCCATGGCGTCGCGTATCGGCCTGCGGATGCAGCTTATGCGGGAGCAAGCGCAGCAGGAGGAGCAGAGGGAGCGGATGCAGCAGCAGGCGGTGATGCATTATATGCAGCAGCAGCAGATGCCGCTGGCCCCCACGCCTGCCATCAACACTCCAGTCCAATTCCAATCCCCACCGTCCGTGCCCGGAGAGGTCTTAAAGGTACAGTGCAGATTAGTTTGTTTCCTTCTCTCCTGGGAGGGGAAGGGAGAGTCTTGGCCTTGTTGAGAGCTCTAATGGTTTTCCCCTGCCTGGGGGGTGTGTGGATTTTTAGGTTCAGTCGTACCTGGAGAACCCCACCACGTATCATCTGCAGAAGTCACGGGACAAGAAGGTCCAGGAGTATATCTCTGAAACCTACGGGAACAAGTTTGCTGCTCACATCAGTCCTATCCGGCACTCTCCGAAGCCTCCCCCTGCCGCCTCGCCGGGCGTCAGGCCCGGCCATGTCATGTCCTCTTCAGCCGGCAACAGCGCCCCCAACAGCCCCATGGCCATGCTCAACATCAGCTCCAACCCGGAGAGGGAGGTAAGGAAATGGCTTGGGTTTATAGAGCACCAAGATGACTAGGGGAGAGGAAGGGAAGGATTTAAAAGTGGCATGTGATCAGTGTCTCTCCAGTCCTGGCTTCTCTCACAGGAGGTGCTATAAGGAGCAGAGCGGAGAGCTGGGATTTCCCAGCAGGAGGCGTGGTGGGACATAAGATATAAATACCTAGCTAGCATGTAGCGCATTTCATGGACAAGGTAGCACATAGCATCAAAAATGAAACCACCGAACTGAGGAAACCCTCAGCTGTCTCTTCGTTTTCGCCCGGTGACCCCGCACCTCCAGCCGTGTGCTCTATCAGAATGCAACTTTCTCTTCCAGATAGACGAGGTCATTGATGACATCATGCGTCTGGATGACGTTTTGGGCTATATTAACCCGGAAATGCACATGCCCAACACCGTGAGTGTCTCTGATTGACTTCCGGACGGTTATCCTGACTCTGGAGGGAGGGGAGGAGCCTGCATTTGACATGTGCTGGCTAGGGAACAATTAGAGTATATGTGCTCTAGGTTAGGGGAGACTGAGCTCTTCCAGCTAAAGGGTAGCTGCAAGGGACCCTCCAGGGAGAGTGGTGACTCTGCTACCCATACCCTCTGGGACGGATTGTCTGTGGCTCTCTGCCCCTTCTCTTGGTGGCCGAGAGCCAGGGTAACCGCTGTACACTAGTGCAGTCTAGCAGACCTGGCACAGGGGGCGTGGACGGAGCACTGCTGTGCTCTTGCTATTCTCAGCTGCCAGGCCAACCCCTCTGGGCTGTGGGGAGCAGAGAGTAAGCTAGAGCAGCCTCAGTGGCTGCTCTAACTCACACTGGGGGCCAGACAGGCTTTTGGCTGGGCTCAAAATATAGGGAGGCTCACCGGAGGCATGAAGCCGCCTTTACCACCCTGCCCCCTCAATTCCTGCCCTGAGCGGAGCTCGGCTGGAACTGAGAATGTGGCAACTGGGGTGTCCCTGCATCGATTGCTGCTACTAACTGTCAAGGCTGCAGCCTGGGATTTTGCTGCACACTCTCCGTATGTCAGTGATGGCTTTTGCCTGGCCCAGTGCCCGGCAGGCAGTGGGAAATCATGCGTCGTGGTGTGTACAAACTGACTGAGCCTCTCTCCCCCTGCCCAGCCCCTGGGGTTGTAGTGATTATTATTGCCGAGTAAGTCAGCAACAAGTGCTAGTCTGAGCTGGCTGCAGCCTGACCTAGAGACAGTAAACATCAGGTTGGCGTTGCTGTGTGTGGGCTGGGGGAGGGGAAAGCTGTGCAGTAGCACGACTGACTGCTATGAGACTCCATGAGCCCTTTCCTTAGGCTCCTGCTTTTAAACGAGCCCCAAAGGGCTGGGAGGGCTTAATAGATTCTAAGCCCAGAAGGGACCATTGTAACCATCTAGTCTGATGTCCTCTACGACAGCTCTAGAACCTCTCCCAGCTGTTCCTTTTATCTCAACCGTTTCTTGTGCGGGAGCTGACGCCTGATTTTTTCTTCTCGTCTTGATTTAAAAAAACCCAGATTCTGTTTTGTGCAACCGTGACTGTCCCCCATCGTGCAAACTCAGCAGGGTTTGAGGCGTGCATTCCCTGCACTGGCTGCTACCACTTGAACTTTCGGCCTGACTGTGAGGATCACAGTCTGGTGGTTAGAGCAGGGGAATCGGGAGTCTTGGTTTCAGTTCTTGATTCAGCCACTGCGTGTCCATGGGCGAGTCCATTTACCTCTCAGTGTTGCCATCTGTAAAATAGGGCTAAGGATACCTAACTCCCAGGGTGCGTGGTGAGGCTTTCTTGATTATGCTTTGAGATCCTGTCCTTGGATGGAAGGCACCATAGCAAGGTGAAGATTGATTGATTGATTTTTAACATCCCTTTCCGTCACGTAGCGTCCCACCGTGAGAACTTATCATGCAGCAGTGAGGCAACTTAGGGCTTTGTAAATGTTTCTAGCTGGGGTTTTCAGTGGGGTTTAAGGGAGTTAGTGCCTAGCGCCCAGTGAAAGTCAATACGTCCCTTAGAAAATCTCAGCCTGATGGATTCCGTGTCTGAGTCATCACCATCCTGCCCCTCGTGAATTAGGTCAGTAGCCTTGGTCTCATTTTGTACATAGGGAAACCGAGGCACGGAGTGGTGAAGTGACTCGCCTAAGGTCCCGCAGAGCAGGGAGTAGAAATCAGGAGTTTCCAGCTCCCAGTTGCATGCAGCCCCTAGATTGTGGTGCCTTCACGCAAGGCCTTATGATTTGGAATCTTCCCGGAGAGCCAGCCCTGAGCCAGCTTTCTAGCTCCCTGATCCCATCTCCCGCTCGTCCAGGAGGAGGACGAGAACCATACTAGTCCCGTGCTCCCTTGTTTTTCAGCTTCCAATGTCCAGCAGTCACATGAATGTATATAGTGGTGACCCCCAGCTGACGGCGTCCCTGGTGGCTGTCACCAGCAGTTCCTGCCCCGCTGACCTCACTCAGAAGAGAGACCTGACAGGTAACGCATGTGAGTTCTGACTGCAGCCTATGTGTGCGTCCGTGTCTGTCAGGTCGGGCCAAATCCTGCGTCAATGCTCGTGCCACTGATGGTGGCGAGGGTTACGTGGGGTGAGGGTCAAACAGAATCCTGCCCACCCTGTTTGACGTTAGGTATTGAGTGATGCTGGGAGAGGTGGTGAGAAAACACAGCTTTGTAACAAGTGTGGTGTGACCTCTTGGGTCTGTCTTGTAGATGCTGAGAACCGTGCCTTGGCTAAAGAGCGTCAGAAGAAGGACAATCACAACCTGAGTGAGTGGATGGTTCATTCTAGCTGCAAGGCTGGGTCTCCTGCCCTAGTTTCCTTCAGCCCAACCCCCATTCTTTTCCTGGAGGCCCCTCTGTCTGTATCGCTGGTTTCCCTTTCACTCTACCTTCATCCTACTCATCTGTCTGAACAGCCCATTCCACCTAGTGCCTCTCATGCATGGCGTATAGGGATCCCCACAGCATCCCCCGAGCAGGGCTCTATCTAACCCAGTACCCTGGCTGACAATGGCCAGCCCTAGATGTTTCAGAGGAAAGTATAAGAAACCCCATTATTGTGATTATTTTATTTTTATTGCAGTAGTGCCTCAGGTCCCCAGTCATGGACCAAGCCCCCATTACGCTAGGGGCTGTACATACAGAACAAAGAGACAGTTCTTGCCACAAAGGTCTTATAATCGAAGTAAGATGAGACAGTCTCTTCTGGACAGTTATGGGATAACCTGTTTTGGGGGAAGTTTCTTCATGAGCCCTCATTACTGGCTTGTGCCCTGAAATATGATGGTTTGTATCCCATAGATATTGGTACCATGTCTAATGTAACTCTAATATTCTCTTTCTCCATAGAAATGTCTCTTCCTTTGTTTGAATAGTGCTAAGCTCTTGGTCTCAATGGTTTCCTATGCTAAATAGCACCCTAAATCTCTCCCACCCCACCTCCGAGCCCCCTTGTCATACTCAGTACCTCCTATGACACCACATGCTACCCTCAACCACTTCTCTCCCATCCAATGTGGCTCTACACGGCCCCACCTTTCCCAACGTCTCTTGCAACCCACCCTCCTCTCTATACCATCCCTCACCCACTGAATGTTTCCCCATCTAGACCTTTGCCACCCCACCTCTGACTGCCCTGTGCCCATGGAATCGATCACATGTAAACTGCAGTCCTCCAGAATTGAAGGATGCATGTTTGGGTGACAGGGACAAACCAGCTTCTGAATAGCTCTCCTAGTCCCTTCGCCCAAAGCTGGGTGAGGAGAACAAGGGACGAGAATCTCTCTGGGGAACTTGGTGATTCCCATAATCCAGGCTGGGGACAGTGGGGGGCTGAGTGTGGTACAAACAGCAGAGCGTTGAAGCTGGTCCCAAATTCCTAAACCTGGATCAGTTTCCATCTCTCTTTCTCTTCCCTCTCTTTAGTTGAAAGAAGACGAAGGTTTAACATCAATGATCGCATCAAAGAACTCGGAATGCTGATCCCAAAAGCCAATGATCTGTAAGTATCACTGCAAGCAGTACAAGTCGCCTTGTCTTAGATATCCCATGTGGATTTGGTGGTGCGTGGCAGAGGAATTGTTAAGGATGGTCCAAATGGTGTGGCCCTGGGGGATGAAACTTACTCTGTAGATCAGGAGAAAACTTCCTAATGGCAACTGTTGAATGTTCGTCCCAGAGAAACAGTGGGGGTCCCGTTGTTTGACATGTATAACTTAACTGGACAAGGCACCTGAGGATTTACGGTGGAGATCAAGCTGGCCCTGGCCAGGGGATGGACTAGATGTAGATGATTGTCTGCTGTTTCCTAGTAACAGCTTGTTCCAGTGCCGAGTCAGATTCTGTTTCACACACTGAGAATTTTCATTCCTTCATCTGATCTTCCAGCTGGGCAACTGCTTTGATACTGGCCGGTCAGGTGTCAGTGTCTGGTCCCACATTGAATTCCCTAGGAGTCTGGTGCTTGGTGTTTTCAGAGACTGGGATAATGGCGTGTGTATATTGACCCAGGCCAGTGCCATTCCCTACATCAGTGTGTCCAGGATGGTAATTCAGGGCATTACGTTTGCAGAGGCACATTTCAGTACAGCAGTGCTCTGCAGAACTTCTCCGGGCCTTGGAGCTGGTTAGAAGGAGCTGACAGCACAGACTGTAATGACTTCTCCCATGTTGAACCCCAGGGATGTTCGCTGGAACAAAGGGACGATCCTGAAGGCCTCGGTTGATTACATCAGGAGGATGCAGAAGGACCTGCAGAGGTCGCGGGATCTGGAGAATCACTCTCGGCGTCTGGAAATGACGAATAAGCAGTTACTGATCCGTATCCAGGTGCGTTCCTATCTTCCCCCCCATCCCTCCCTGTTCTAACCCAGCCTGAGGGTACGTCCTCACTGTAATAAGAGACCCACGGCACGGCCACGGGTCACCTAGGTCAGTTGACTTGGGCTCACGTGGCTAGAGCTGCATGCTAAAAATTGTAGTGTAGCCATGCAGTCTTGGGCTGGAGCCCGGGCTCTGAAGCCCTGTGCAGGAAAGGGTGTTGGAGGGCAGGCTCCGGCCTGGCCTACGCTGCTGTCTTTAGCTCCACGAGCCTGACTCAGTTGACCCAGACTTGAAGACTAGGTGCCACAGTTTTTTTTCTTCTCTTGGTGTAGACCTAAAACACCTTCAGGCGCTCCAATCTTGTTCTTGCCCCTTCACAGTGGGTCTGGGCCAGATTCTGTTCTCCCTTAAGGCCCTGAAATTGGAGCATCTTCATTGACCTAAATGGAGTCCGTCCAGACTCACGCTGGCATCACCTGAGATTTGTTTCTGTCCCTTTGAGATGCTCCATGCACACACTGAGCCAAAGCTAGTGAAGTCACTGGCTAGGTTCCCACTGACTTCGGTGGGCTTTGCATCAGGCCCCTGGCAATGCTGTTTGCACAGCTCACTTACTGCAGACATTCAGGTGTGGTAGGGGGCTGCTCCTGTCTTGTGACTGACTTGTGAGTGCTGCTTTGCAGGCCAGGCCCTTGGCTTGCAGCCCACCAGTGACAGGGACGAGCTAGTTTGGGAGAGGTTCCATTCAGCACAAGGAACGCTCGTGGCATTCGCGTGGGAGCCAGGCTTGCCGTGTTCGTAGCTGTTCCTGCCGTGGGGTGGCCTGTGCTTCCTGGGCTGTGGCACTTGGGCTAACCCTTTCAAACCTGTTTGCTAATGGCAGGCTCCAAATCCATCTCTGGGCACCTAAAGAGAGGTTTTTAAGGAGCCTCGGTATGGATTTAGGAGCCTCACTAGGCCGCCAGGTTGACCTAGGGTTTATGGTACCAGGTGGGGATGCTGGCGCCAGCTTTACCCGGAGATTTCATGTAGAGTAGCGAGCAGCCTGCTTGCACTAAAGCACTGAGCCCACAATGTCTGCCTCACCTTATCCTTGGGTCGCTGACCACTGGAATTCAGCCTATGAAATAGCAAACCTGGCAGGGACTGGGGACTTTATGGGTTAAAGTTTGAAGTGCTGTTTTCTTCTTTGCCTCTTCCTCCTTCTCTCTTTCCCCGGGCATCCCCTCCCACTCCCCCTCTCTTTGTGTAGTTTGCCATCTTTCCCTTCTGCTGTCTCTCTTGGAATCTCTTCACCCCTCTCCAAGGTCCCCAGCTGTCTGCCTTTTCCATCTGGCCTTGTCACCAGTTCAGTCCCCTGAGAGGGATATTTGAAAGGGGGGGTGCAGCTCGAGGATTTGAAGTGAGCCACGCTTAGTGGCAATGGGAAGAGGTGGGAGTAACCACAAAAATGCTGTTAGTGGTTCAGGGAGCCATGGGTCTTATTTGCCGTATTTGGAGTGGGTGGTGGCCAGGGCGAAGGTGGTCAAAAGTGCCTGACTTAAGACATCTGAAACGGTCCTGATTTTCAGAGGGGCAGGTGCTCAGCCCTGTCTGAAAATCAGGCCCCTTGAAGGGGTCTCAAGTTGGGGGCCCAAAATCATTAGTCGCTTCAGACAGTCTTGGCCTGTAGCATCCGCACTGGCAGCTTTGTAAACCCTGCGGTCCTTAATGTGACAGTGGTACCTTTCACCCATTATGCCTGGCTGCTGGATTGTGTCAGTTCAGCTCTCTGGCTGGGGGAGGGTTCCCCACAGAGCAGTTAGTGGCTCCCTCCCGCTCCCTGTTGTGTCGTTGGTGCCCCTAGTAAGGACTCTTGGCTTGTGTTCTCTGTCCTACAGGAGTTGGAGATGCAGGCACGCCTCCATGGGCTGCCCGCCTCCTCACCCTCCGGCGTGAACGTGGCAGAACTAGTTCAGCAGGTCGTGAAGCAAGAAGTGACCGGAGAGGACGGGTCGATGGAGCCTCAGCAGCCCCAGCTACCTCCAGATCAGGAGACGCAGCAACAGCCACCCCTGCCACTGCTGCCTCCATCTCCCTACCAGCTGGACTTTACCCACGGCCTGAGCTTTGATGATGGCTCCAGAGGGTTCCGCGACCAGCTGGACCCCAGCCACCATGTCTCTTTCCCCTCTTTATCCAAGAAGGAGCTGGACTTGATGCTGATGGAGGACACCATGTTACCTCTGGCTTCTGACCCCTTGTTCTCCGCCATGTCCCCCGAGGCCTCCAAGGCCAGCAGTCGCAGGAGCAGCTTCAGCATGGAGGATGCTGACATGCTGTGACAAGGAGCCGCTCGGAGCCTGGGGAAAAGGACGAGGAGTGAGGCTTGTCGGTGAAGACACGCCCCCACCCAAGAGGACCCCAGCCCACACTTGAGCCTACATAGAAATACATTTCTCTATGCAAGCGTTGTCACAGTCACTGGGAAAGTCAGACCCTTGTTGTTACAACTTGATCTGCAAACTTTCTTGCTTTGCCATTAACTAAGCGGAGCTCCCTGCCTTCAAATGACCCTAGATTTACAGCCCAGCTGCCTTGCCTTTCAGCTGAACTTCCCACAAGCCACACGCAGTGCAGGAGTGGAGGCTGGAAGCCGGGCTGTCAGGTATGAGAAGGCGCCTTCGAGTCCTGGTGGAGGCTAACAGGGGGCTTGTCGCTCAGAGCGCCTTGCTGCAAATGTGCATCCAGCCAAGCTTTACCACATGAACCCATGTTCCCTCAAAGTCTTCCCAAGCCCTGGCGCTATCGCCCTGAAGACATCGGCAGAGGCTGCCTCGTACCGTGTTCCCGCATTGGGCTTCCCCTTCTCTTTTCGGGCAGGGATGTGCAGCTTTCCTGAGGGAGGGTGTGGTGTCCCTGGTCGTCACGGCGTAGGGGAGGTGTGTTTCTCAAGGCTCATTGGGTAAGAAGGCTGCAGGGGGGAGGAGGAGGAGGGTAATCTGAACAAATTATTTAGTGATACCAGAGGGACACTTTCAAAGCCGGGAGCAGGAGTTGGATGCAACAGTCTCATTTATTTGTCACCTGCGTTTGTAAAGGCACCGGCTTTGAGAGTGGACCTATTGAGACCCACTCAACTTCCACCCCATTAGAGATGGGACCCAGCCTCCAACTTCGGAAGTGGGTTCCTAACCCTTGAAAGCGTGTAGGGGGTTGGGATGCCGGTTTGGGCCCATCTCTGCTTCCTCTCAGTCTGTTCAGATGAATCCTGAAACTTCCAAGTGATATTTGGTCAAAACCATCAGTGTGCGCCTGGTATGGAACTAAACCCTTACTGATGTTTCCAGACACCAGCTCTGGCTTTGCACCCGCACTTATTGGTGCCAGCCAGTTTGCACTATAAAGCACTTGGGCAGCTTTTTCAAATGCACCTAAGGGTGTGTTCACACTGCAGCTGGGATAGGGTGACCAGAGAACGAGTGTGAAAAATCAGGGTGGGGCGTAATAGGTGCCTATCTAAGACAAAGCCCCGAATATCGGGACTGTCCCTATAAAATCAAGACATCTGGTCATCCTAGCTGGAGCGAGCCTCCCAGCCCAGGCAGATACGTGGTAGCTGGGCTCACACTAACAGGCTAAGAACAGGAATGTGCTGGTTGCGTCGCGACCCAGGGGTTGAGACGGGCTTGTACTCAGGCTGGCCTGCATTGCTGCCTGTGCCGTGCCATTTATATTGTGGTTTTTAGTGCGCTAGCTGGAGCAGAGCGAGCATGTGTTCGCCTGCCTGAGCTGGGAGGCGCACTCCCATCTGCACCCGTAGACATGCCCTGAGTGACTTGCGACTACCGAGTAGATCTTTGGGCTGCATCTGAACCTGAGACCTGGGGGCATATGTGTGTGGGAACCTCCCCTATGAACCACACCTGGAAAAGGTGTTTGCATGTGCCCCTGTACACTAAAACCTCCAAGTTGGGACCCTCATACCCAGCATCCCCAGTGCCTGAACCTAGCAAATCAAGCTCATGGAAGGCACCCTAAATAACTGGTTCAGTTATCGTCAGGGTGAGCTTAGATCCCTTCTTCCGTTAAAACACTCAGAGGGCCAAATCCTGGCAGGCTTTGAGTGCCCTCTGCTCCCAGTGAAATAAGTGAAAGACCTGACTGAGTTGTTTTCTTTCTCAGTCTTTACTCAGGCAAGCCACCCATTGGGGCCAGTGGGAGGTTTTGCCTGAGTTAAGGGGCCTCTGGGTTTGGCTCAGTGTGTTCAGTGTCATCACGAACACGTGGAAGATGGCCACATGAGGTCAAGGGACCTGGATCCAAATGCTTTCTGCTGAAATGTCCATGGGAGGGGATTTTTCTGCCCTTAAAGAGCACAAACCCAGCCAGCAGGGCCGGCTCCAGCTTTTTTGCCGCCCCAAGCGATGAAGCGGAATAAATAAATAAATAAATAAAGCCGCGATTGGCGGCACTTCGGCGGCAGCTCTACCGCGCCGCTTCATTCTTCGGCGGCAATTCGGCGGCGGGTCCTTCGCTCCAAGAGGGACTAAGGGACCCGCTGCCGAATTGCCGCTGAAGACCTGGACGTGCCGCCCCTTTCCATTGGCCACCCCAAGCACCTGCTTTCTTCGCTGGTGCCTGGAGCCGGCCCTGCCAGCCAGGGTTAGAAGCTGGGGGAAGTTACATGGGGTGGAGGGGAATCTGAGTTCATTGCTCAATGAGCTTGGCTCTGAAGAGGAGGAGAACAAGGTCTCTGTTCTACAGGGTTCTCGGGCAGAACTGAGGAGCTCAGTGATATGGGGAAACTGGAGTTCTAAATCTCTCAGGTGGGTGCTCCTCCAACCCATGCTGCCCCTTCTTGAGGTTGATCCCAGAACCAATATCCCTTTGACGAGGAATTGCCAGGGAACGTTAAAAACAACCTCTTCCCTCCAACAAGTCCCTCTTCGACTTCCTGTGTCTTCATGTTCAGGTTGAGCTCTCTCTCGCTGGGCGTGGCATCCTAGAAACCATGGAAATTAGCCCTGCTGAGCTCAAAAGCAAACATCAAGGAGTTATCCTACTCTGGGAAAGGTTTCTTCTGTGTCCTCATTGTGGCTCTCTGTCTTCCACCTCGCCCCCAGTTGCTTCCATGTCCGCTTCCATGTTTCTGGCAACACAAGCCATGTTTTCGCTGATTGGAAGAGGATATTTCTATCCCTGACCAAAACAAAGTTTGGTCCATTAAGAGAATGGAATCGAGGACTCCTTCAACATGACCAGCGCTGTCTCCTGACCTGATTTACGTCATCATAATTCTGAGCTGGGGTTCTTCAGACAGAAGGCAAATCGGTCTTTATACTGTGTCTTTTAGATCCTTAATGTAAACCTGTATCTGGGCCCCCACACAGAGACTGGGTAACAGGGCAGCCACCCTGGTGTGAAGCAGCAGGAGGAGGATTGTACATTGGTAACGATTGCCAAAATCTTAGCCAGGGCTCTTTGGCTTCTAAGAGTCAATCCCCCCCCCCACCCCACCCCCTGTTATCCTCAGATAGTTTTTGGCCTAAAGAGCCAAACCACTGAAGAATTTCTTTGCACAGCTTCGTAGCTCAATTTGTTTTCTGCTTTCTCAGTGCTGTTGATGTCGGCACAGCCACAAGGGGAATTGGGATGGGGAAGAGGGGTGCGGGGATCACTTTTATTTAAAAGAAAAGATGACAGTATTCTACAGTAAGAGCCTAAGGGGAAGATGGGGAAATCTTTAGTAATGATTAGGGTTGTCAAGTGATTAAAAAAATTAATCACAATTAATCATGCAATTAATCGCGCTGTTAAAAATAGAATATCGTTTCTTTAAATATTTGTGGATGTTTTCCACATTTTCAAATATATTGATTTCAGTTACAGAATACAAAGTGTACACTGCTCACTTGATATTTATTTTTTATTGCAAATATTTGCACTGTAAAAAACAAATAGTATTTTTCAATTCACCAAATACAAGTACTGTGGTGCAATCTCTTTATTATGAAAGTTGAACTTACAAATATATAATTATGTACAAAAAATACCCTGCATTCAAAAATAAAACAATGTAAAACTTTAGAGCCTACAAGTCCAATCAGTCCTACTTCTCGTTCAGCCAATCACTCAGACAAACAAGTTTGTTTACATTTGCAGAAGATAATGCTGTCTGCTTCTTGTTTACAATGTCACCTGAAAGTGAGAACATGCATTTGCATGGCGCTGTTGTAGCCAGCGTCACAAAATATTTACATGTCAGATGCGCTAAAGATTCATATGTTCCTTGATGCTTCAAACATCATTCCACAGGACATGCGTCCATGCTGATGACAATTTCTGCTTGATAACGATCCAAAGCAGTGCGGACTGACGCATATTCATTTTCATCATCTGAGTCAAATGCTACTAGCAGAAGGTTGATTTTCTTTTTTGGTGTTTTGGGTTCTGTAGTTTCCACATCAGAGTGTTGCTCTTTTATGTCTTCTGAAAACATGTTCCATACCTCATCCCTCTCAGATTTTGGAAGGCACTTCAGATTCTTAAATCTTGGGTCGAGTGCTGTAGCTATCTTTAGAAATTTCACTTTTGTATCTTCTTTGCATTTTGTCAAATTTGCAGGGAAAGTGTTGTGGGCAGCATTATCTCCTGTAAATGTTAACAAACTTGTTTGTCTTAGCGATTGGCTTAACTGGAAGTAGGACTGAGTGGACTTGTAGGCGCTAAAGTTTTACACTGTTTTGTTTTTGAGTGCAGTTATGTAACAAAAAAACCCTACATTTGAAAGTTGCACTTTCATGATAGAGATTGCACTACAGTACTTGTATGAGATTAATTGAAAAATGCTATTTCTTTTATCATTTTTACAGTGCAAATATTTGTAATAAAATTTCAATTAGTATTCTATTGTTTAACAGTGCGATTAATTTTTTTGAGTTAATTGCGTGAGTTAACGGTGATTAATTGACAGCCCTAGTAATGATACTACATTATACCCCAGTAACTGCCTTAAGTATTGCAGGAAGGCTACAGCAAATTATAGTGTTTGGGGCCATTACTGGAGAATGATGTAATATCTTTTTTATTAGTAATGTCTGGATCCCAATCCTCAAAGTTCAGGAGCGCTCGGATCCAGGCTTTATAGATCAGGCCCCATCTCCAGCCCTGATTCTGCACTGAGAGCTGCACGGGTGGGACCCCTGCGCACACACAGAGCTCCCTTGACTTCAAACCCTGGTGACTCGTGCTGAGCCAGGACCTAAAATCATAAGGGAAAACTCAACCTGCCAACTCCCTGAGAAGGAAAGAGCTCAGGAATTGGATCGTAGGGTGCTGAGTGTGAACGTGACCATAGGGTACAGCTCTGGGGCAAGCGCGGGTCTGTGATGGGAGTGAGATGATCTCCAGGGTGTAGGCATCTCCCGAGCTGACAATGAGAA